AAATGTGAGTAAGGTACCGAACTCAGGTTTGCTCCCGCTTTATTTTTAAATACGCATACGGTACTTGTATGCGCCCTATGATCCAGTGCGCCTTATGTGTGTGTTAAATACAGTAATGGCACACATAACCGAGACTGCGCCTTTTAGTACAGTGGGTTAGGGTTGGTCATGAAAATACGGTATGTTCTTTTATGCCTTTTTGATCCAGTAGTCCACTTTTTGTCATTGTGTCCTGGTCCGGCTACCTTTTATTGCACAATATCTTCATATTCCATGTTCCATATTCATTACTTATAGCGGGGACTATTTTAATAAATTATTATCTGGGTGTTCTAAAAGCTGCAGTTAAAGTATTAACAATAATGCGAAAATAACTAAACAGCCAATACTGTGTTCCCCAACTCACGCTGTATTGACTTCTTTGTTTATTTTAGTTAAAACAATACACTTCAGTAACAAGAACGTTACAACACTAGACAATTTTATACAACCATATAGTGTTTTAAAACCATAATTCAAACTGTTATGCAATAATTCTCATTTGCCATGACTAAAAGCATGACACGCAATATCATTTTCAAAGAAAACTCACCTGTCTCTTCATCTATGGCAAATCTTCCAAGCCCACTCCCATCTCGAATGGAGTACTGAACTTCTCCATCTCTGCCAGCATCATCATCATTAGCTGTGACCTGGAGTAGAGTGGTTCCAATCCGGGCATTTTCTTTAACTAATCCAGTCAAAGCAAAATCAGAAAAGTATGGGGCATAGAGGTTTTCATTCACATCTACAACCTCCACCTCCACAAAGGTAACAGAAAGAAGAGAAACAGGCCTTCCTTTGTCTTTGGCCTTTACAGTAAGGTTGTAGAACTGCTGTGTCTCATAGTCCAGCTCCTTTGTGAGTCGAATAACTCCATTTGCCCTGTCTACTTCAAACCATCCATTATAATCACTGGCTAGGGAGTACCGAACCTGGCCTCCCAACCCCAAATCTGGATCCAGAGTTTCTAACCAGGCTACAACTGTTCCTACTGGGAGATCCTCCAGAACCCTGGTTCTGTACACAGCAGGGATAAATAGTGGAGGACAGTCATTTACATCCTCCAAAATGATTTTCAGTGTGGTTACAGAAAACTTCTGGCTTCCTTTCTCCGCTTTGTCCCGAGCCTCAATTTTTAGGTTAAACGTAGAGACAAACTCCCTGTCTAGTTGGCCAGCAACATATAATATCCCACTAGTGGAATTGATACCAAACTGAGTGGTGCTTGTCAAAAGAGAGTATACAATCTCGCCATTGGGCCCAAGATCTTTGTCAATGGCCTCAACCTGGATGACGTCAGTACCTATGGCTAGGTTTTCAGGTATGACAATTCTAAAGCCTCCTTCTTGCAAAAATTGGGGTGCATTATCATTTGCATCTTCTATATAGACAGTAAGCAACCGCCAGGAACTTTTCTGTGGAAGGCCAAGGTCATAGAGAGTTAAGTTGAGGAGATAGCGATCTCTTTTTTCTCTGTCCATGTGTAGGAACACACTGATAAGTCCCGTCTGTATGTCAATGGTAAAACAGTTATCAATATTTCCATCTGAAATAGAGTATAGAATTTGACCATTGAAACCTGTGTCCCCATCATAGGCATTCACATTGAAAACACTTGAGCCTACCTTAAGGTCTTCCTGCACAGTAATATCTGTGGGAAATGTTTTGTCAAACTGGGGTGTCTGCCGATTCACAGAAAAAAGGTCAATAAAACCTTCCTCAATTTTAGGTTTATTGCTAGCTTTGGACTTTTTCAGTAACTTTTCAGCTAATTTTTGAGCCACATTTGTTTCTTTACATGTGAAACGTTTGGAAGAAGATTTTCCATAAACAACTGAGATATTGACAAACATAGGATCCGAAAAGCTCTCACCATCAGTGGCAGTTATTTTTAAACTAAATAAACCACTCTTTGGATGGGCTCTTGAGAGAGAATGCTGCAGTGCAAGAACCCCTGAATCTGGGTTGAGGTCAAAGTACCCCTGTTCGTTACCTGAAATAATCTTATATTTCACTAACTCTAATTCATCTATATCAATTGCAGACATTGTAGTAATAACTTCATTTACTGGAAAATCCTCAGGAATAATCCCCTGGCATGCTACCTTCTCAAACAATGGCTGATTATCATTTACATTTTCTAGATGGATTGTTACATTGACTTCACTTTCTCGTCTGTAAGGAGACCCCCAGTCAGATGCTCTGACTATGAACATAAAGCTTTCTGATGAGGATTCAAAATCCAGCTCTTCAGTAGTGCTTATAACACCAGAAAACTGATTGATTTTAAAGGGTAATGGCTGAAGACTGGAAATGCTGTAAGTTATGTATCCATTTTCACCTTTATCTTTATCAACTGCAGAAATTGTTAATACACTGGTTGCAACTGGTACACTTTCATTAACAAAAACCTCATAAGAGGACTGAGCAAATGTTGGTGTGTGATCATTGGCATCCTCAATGGTTACCCTCACTTTAACTTTGAGATTACTATCCATTTCCACTACTTCAAGATTAAAGACATCCTGGAACACCTGAGTGAACCAGCGAGCAGTAGAGATTACACCCGTTAGGGTATTCATTTGAAAAAAGGATGAATCCGCAGAGGTTGTTAAGATATATTCTGCATCATCAGGTTCTGGTGTGATTTTAACAGCCACTACAAGTGTACCTGGAGGTGAAATTTCATTTAAACTGACATCATACAACTCTTGCATAAATTTAGCATCTGAATTTTGATGTTTTTCGACCTTGATTTGGATGACTTCAACAGCAGATAACTTCTGTGGGGTGCCCCTGTCTTTAGCCTGCAAGCTAAGATTACAGCCATAAGGGTACATTTGACTTATTGACTCAAAGGCTTTAATAGCAAACTCTCCTTCTTTAGTTCTGTCAACAAAAAACTGCTCTGACGGATCTCCTCCTACAATGACCAAGGAATCTATTTCTCCATTTAAGCCTTCATCTTGGTCCTCAACAGTAACCACTGCATACACAAGATTTTTATCCAGCCATGAGGGGCTGTGTGTGAGGACATTCATGAGTGGAGCATGTTCATTTAAACGCTCTACATGGACAAAAAGTTTGGCTGTGCTGCTGATACCATTATTTCCATAAAGCTTCATGCCACGGTCCACCGCTAGAATTTCTAAGTCATAACGGTTCTGCTCATCGACATTAAGCCTTCCACTGAGAGTAACCACTCCACTAGTTGGGTGTACAGCAAACAGTTCAGTTTTTTCCTTGAAAAAATAGTAAAACTCTCCATTGGAACCGATATCCGCATCTGTGGCAGTAACTTGTGCTATACTAGTTCTGAGAGGGGTACTCTCTGCTATGGTGACGGAGTATGTGGTAGGAGAGAACAAGGGCCGGAGGTCATTCATATCCAAAACCTGAATACTGACTTTAGTCCAGGTCTCAAGAAGAGCCTCTCCCTTGACAGAAGCTTTCACTGTCAATACATAATTATCCTGAATCTCTCGGTTCAATATGGCGGCATTACCACCTTTAGTCCTTATGCGTAAGAAACAGAAGTCTCCGAGTACATACTCCTCTGCCTTGAAAAAACCGTCATCGTCACCTGAGGTGATTCTGTAGCGGATCTCCCAGGAGTGCTGGGCGAGGTGGATGCCCATTTTAATTTTACTGTTGGCATAGGTGCGTGCTGCTGAGTTTTCATAAATTGTGGCATGGTAGACAGGCTGAGTGAAGCTGAAGTGAGATTCATCTTGAGGAGCCCCATGGGTGTTCTGACCGTTGCAGAGTGGTGACTTCAAGAATACCAACAGCAGCAGCAAGGCCAGGCGGAGATGAGGGGCTCGAATGCCTTCCCACTGGCTCATATTCATATCCATTCCATCATAACTCCATGCTGAAGCAGTCTAGAAAAAGAAAGGCAGAGACATAGAGAGAAACGTCAGCAACAGGAGGGGGGATTCTTTTCATTCACAGTCTCTGCCAATTAACCATAGTTAATAGCCATAGTTAACCATTAGAGGAGTAGAGATGGTGAAAGAGATGACCGAGCTGAGTGCAGTTACTTGGCAGCCATAATGAAACTTACATCATCCTTGTGCAGTATGTGGATACCGACAATCAACTGTTACTTTTAGAAAAAAAAAAAGCTGTGGTTGTTTGTCAAGGAACAAAACAATTATATGGTTAGGAAGAATTGTATCATCATCAACATACTATAGAACATAACTGCAGAGACAAATTGCTACTATACTTTGACCCTATCATAACCCATTTTCTAAATTACTTGAAAATTGCAGTACTATATTTCAAAACCATGTAATATCACCAAAAGTAAGCCAGATGTGGTTTCAAATGCAAAGTAGCTACTTTTTTCAAAGTGTTCTCTCTTTTATTAAAAAAGAAAATACTGTGTTCTGTAAGTAAGCAGCCACAAGTATGTGCCAATCTGCACTTTTGGCCTGAAACCTTTTCCAGTAAAAGCCATGCTGTAGCTGTAAGACTACCACAATAGTCTGCATTTTGGTGACTAAGCACTTTCTCCACAAGGGATAAAGAGATGGAGTGGAAAGGCAGATGGTTTCCGAGTCTTCTGAAAGAGTATTTACTTTCTGTTGAAAGTAAACCTATTTAGCTTGGCAACAGTGCCCCCAAATTGAAACAATACAAATTGAAACCTGAGTGCGCATTTAAATAAAATTCAGTAGTCATTCGTGAGTGAAAAATGTGACGATAATCCTAAGAGAAATGCAGAAAATATCACTTTTTCTTCTTTTTCTCTGACATTATTAAACTGTCAACTGAGGCACACTAATTATGCCTCAGTACTGAAATAACCCTTCCAATCTGTTTTTGTTCACTTTTGGCAGAGTCACTACGTATCTAAGCTAATACAGTAATAATACATACAAATGGTTGTTTTTCCCTATTTGTACTTGGAGTAGAAACAATTTAAGGGATTCTGTCATTGCAACATCTGACACCAGTTCACAATTTTAGGTTTATTGCTGTCTCAATACATTTCCTGAAAGGCATGGTTCTGCCAAAATTTATAGCAGACAGCTGCCGCTCGCAAAAGGAGCAATGGCAAATGACAAAGCAGTGGAAGCTGAAAAATTGCTAGAAGTGTAACTAACAGAGGTATAACGGACTGAAAAAAGATGAGTGAAGAAGAAACACTCATTCTGCATTTATTGATTAGTTATTATTAATCGCTGGCGGTCTTCTACAGCCTGTTTTTGTCCTGTCTTCCAGCCTGGTTTATCTGGACGTTTTTTCTGTTAGAAGGAAGAAACCTTGCCACCGTCGCCAAAATACTGGCTCATGATTGTTAGGGTTTTCTCTGTTTTGTTTGTATTACTGTAATTTCTTTACTTTACAACATAAAGCACCTTGATGCACACAGTTATATCATAAATTAACTGTGATGTATCACATCTTTGGAAAGCTGAGTACAATTTCTCTAGCCACACCCAGGCCTGATTACTGCCACACCTGTTCTCAATCAAGAAATACCGTAAATAAGACCTGCCTGACAAAGTCGAGTAGACCAAAAGGTTCTCAAAAGCCAGACATCATGCTGTGATCCAAGAAATTCATGAACAAATGAGAAACAAAATTATTGAGATCTCTCAGTGTGGAAAATGTTATAAAGCCATTTCTAAAGCTGAGGGACTCCAGCAGACCACAGTATTATCCACAAATGGCGAAAACATGGAACAGTGGTGAAACTTCCCAGGAGTGGCCAGCCGACCAAATTTACCCCAAGACCACAGCTCCTGGGATATTTTTGGTCCAAGAGGTCACAAAAGACCACAGAACAACAACCAAAGAACTGCAGGCCTCACTTGCCTTTGTGTTCATGATTCCACCATAAGAAAGAGACTGGGCAAAAATGACCTGCATGGCAGAGTTCCAAGACGAAAACCACTGCTGAGTAGGGCTGCCACGATTAGTCGACTAGTCACGATTATGTCGACTATTAAAATCGTCGACGACTAATTTAATAGTCGACGCATCGTTTGAAGCTTTGTAAGATCACAAAGGACGCAGGAATGATTAGTAGGATTTAAGAGTGTAATAACGGACTGAAACAGAAGATGGCAGCACTGCATGTACAAGGATGCCAGCTGCCGTTAAACCCCGAAGAAGAAGAAGCTGTGTCCCAGAATTCATAGTGCAGCCCAGCGCAGTTGTCAACAATGGCGGCAGCTAGTTAGTTTTAACTTTACTCTTATTATTCTTTCTGGGTCACAAAATAAATGTTTAACATATTTTCAGGCGAGAATGTTTAAACCTCAAATATCTGCTCAGTTTATCAAGACACCACATATTTTCAAAAGCGCTCCGACGTTTTCGGAGACGTCTGTTACCCACTAGCTCGTTAGCTAGGCGGGGGCAAGGCTAACTAGAGCCGTGAGAACACCGGACTCCCGGCAAATCGTTTTCAAACCCACCGTCGTCTTTTGCTAGTCAGGTTACACATATATATAAGTCACTTAGATAACTTAAAAATGTTATTGTTTGGCTTTCTTTAGTATTTTATTTGTTCCTGAGTAAATCGGTTTGGCTGAGATTAAAGTTATAGTTTTTGCACAGCTAAAACTGTCAAGCAGACAGCTGATTATCAGAAGTGTGAGACGCTGGAGAATATACTCCGGTGTCCTGTTATATTTTAGAAAGCAAGGAGTTTATTAAACTTCACCGAAACAATCTGCAAATTTCATTAAAAATTAATAAACTACCATCTTGTCTTTATTTTTAGTTAGCACAAACACTTCAAGCTGTAAGCTAATGATAGTTATATAAGACCAGATGCTGCTGGTGCAATAAGCTGTACGCTGTACGTCCAATGGATGATGATCTGATTAGTCGACTAATCGCAAAAATAATCGGTGACTAGTCGACTATCAAAATAATCGTTTGTGGCAGCCCTACTGCTGAGCAAAAAGAACATAGAGGCTCCTCTCAGTTTTGCCAGAAAACATCTCGATGAACCCCTAAAGTCTTTTCGGAAAATACTATGTGGACTGATAAGACAAAAGTTAAACTTTTTAGAAGGTGTGTGTTCCATAATATTTGGTGTAAAATAACGCAGCTCTCAGAAAGCGAACGTTATTTCAACAGTAAAATACATGTGATGGTCTGCGGCCGTTTTGCTGCCTCAGGACCTAGACGACTTGCTGTGGTAAATAGTACCATGAATTCTGCTGCCTATCAAAACATCCTGAAAGAGAATGTCTGCCCATCTGTTTATGACCCCAAACAGAAGCACAATTGGGTTCTGCAGAAGAACAACAATCCAAAACACACCAGCAAGTCCACCTCTGAATGGATTAAGAGAAAGAAAACAAAAACTTTGCAGTAGCCTAGTCAAAGTCCTGACCTGAATCTAACTGAGATGCCCTGGCATGACCTTAAAAAGACAGTTCATGCTTAAAAAGTCCTCCAATGTAGCTGGGTGCAGCTCCTTTGCAGAGTGAGCTGCAGATAGGCAGGTGGACAACGAGCTCTGTAGTAAAGGTTTAACCCTTGCATGTTATGAGTTCTGTATTCTGATAATTATAACATATACTATATTATGCCTATATTAATTCAAATGCTGCAAATATCCCTCTGTAAGAATTGGGCACCTCAACATGCCAGTTTTGTCTAATTAAAAGAAGTAAGAAAAAACTTTAGTACCTTTTTTCATTCAACAGTACACAACATTAAGCATTAAGCTTAATATTAGACTCCATCTGCTGAAAAATGTAAACAGTTGACAGTTCTGAGCTGTATTTGATATTATTTTGTCATTGTTGGACAGATGTGGTTTCTGAGGATATAAAAGTTTCAAAATGATAATTATTCATCAAACTTTCCATCTCTTCAGATCTTCTTATAAACACTGTAAACAATGCGAGCTTAAAATATTTTTTCATCATTCTGCTGCATAATTGCTATGTTGTTACTATACCAGCAAATCCCACAAGCTTGTGTCAGCTAAATGTCTGCCACACACACCACATCAGCCACACAAAAAAATAGCATCATTCTCTTGAGAGAAGTCCCACTTACTGTCAGCTCTAAACACCCTGTCATTAGCTTTTTATTACAGGCTAATTAGCCTTGAAATACATGGCAAACGGCAACCAGCAACTTCTACTGGAAAGAGAGATAATGTTGCTTTGTCTGACCTTGCTAATACACAGCTATAGGTTAACATGTAACTCAGAGAAACAGTCCTGCTGGCAAGCCTGCTGGTCATAAAACCTTTATGGATCTATAGAAAGATGTTACCAGCATGTAAAGTTAAGCACACATATGCATGGACACAGGCACATATGCATACATACTCTCAGTGAAAAGCTGACTGAGGCAACAAGGTAATGTGAAGCATAGGGATGGGTATTGAAAACCGGTTCTTGTTGAGAACCAGTTCCCACTGTTTCAATTCCTTGGAATTGTTTGCCATTTTTGCAAACGATTCCCTTATCGATTCCAGTCGCCCTGAATGACATCACCACGTTGCGGAGCGTCATTTACCTGGCAGGAAACATGGCTGCTAAAACGCTAAAAAGTTTGGTTATACTTTACAAGAACGGAAGACAACAGGGCGACTTGCAATACTTGCAAAGTAGATATTTCATTTAAGGGAGGAAACACTACGAATATGCAAAAGCATTTGCTCACAAAACACACGATGACCTTAAATGAATGTCGTGTTTTTAATTCCGCTCCGGACTC